ATTTTAGAAAGGTGTTATAGGAAGACCCAAAGCCAGGTTTTGCTCCTAACTGGACACTCAGCTCTAATGGGAAGCCACTTACAGTGACCTCCCCTTCGCTCTCTAACCCTCCTTTACTGACAAGAATGAAACTGACAAATAAAAGCCCTCCTCTATCCCCCAACTGTCCATCACTCTAAAGGTCAACACAACACCATGGCCCTGGTCCCCTTTCCAAACTGTTCACCCAGCAGTACACTGTTCATTACATCTGAAGACAGCACTGTGTAACCCCCCCATCCCGCCCCCGCAGCCTCAGACTGTCCATCACTGCCATCCAGGTGAGAAGGTAATTGGGGAAGTTCTGATGGAGCAAGGCGGTCAGCACTGACAGCATCCAAACTGCACAGGACATGTACCAGGGAGTTAACGGTGGATTTCCCAATACCCATTCTATACACTTCATCATATCTGGAGACTGGTGCTGCCTCAGAACTGCTGGGACGGACTCCATGGATTAGACTTAGTTTGCATACCAGACTCTAGTCCCCTCACCGCAAGTGACATGAAAGACTGTGTGATGTATTTCTAAAAGAAAAAGAACCAGCCAAAGAGATGTGTAGCACTCTGATGCTATCCTTCAAGTATCCAGGAGTGTACCTGTTCTTCCAGTCCTGTATCCCTGGGTACTTTATTCATACTGGGTTATTTAAGTCCAGAGCCAATGCAGGAAGAAGTGTGCCCTTTTTAACTAGCGGAGTCAGGATGTGGAGGTTGTTGGAGTAGTGGATGGTGTGTGTATAGTGGTATAATCTGACTTTCATGCAGCTTGTATTCTCTCCCCAAAGTTCACTTTAAAAAGTTATGAATTTCCCTTAATTTATTCATCTGAATGAATTACATCCCTTACTCTACCAACGTTTACAGGCTATAACCTTACTTATTTAACCAAACTCTGCTTGCCATAGATATTGAGGAAAATATAATCTTTTTAGGTGTTTTTGTTTTCTGTTTTTTTTTTCCATACATGGTGTGCGCATTAACCACTGCACCACCAGCACCCCTGTTTTCTGCTTTGATGTATTCTGCAGAGCAGTATAATACCAATGATCTATCTGGTGGTACATGGTGAATATCAACATTAAACTTGAACCCACTCATCACAAAAGAACAAACGCGAACCCTGTTTTAGTTGAACTCTTATTTACAATACAGCCGAATAATAATATTCATAAAGAAAGAAACATTTAAATATCGATGGATGGATGGATAGATAGATAGTTTGTTTTAATTTACCAGTTTAATTTATTTTAAGAATGCTTTTTTAGCTCTGATAGCTTCCTTTCTGTTTTAAATATCTCTTTGTTATTGATGTAATGCACAATCCAGAGAACACATTTCAAAGGGGCCAATGGTACAGAACAGATAAAAAGACTCCTTTTGTATGAATAAGCTTTTGGCTGGGAGGCTAGAGCAACCACCCTAGGAGTTACCATGTCAACCAGGCTTAGTTAGTGCATTTTTATGTGAAGATGAATTTTGCTGTGCCACTGAGACCAGACCCAAAGATTTTTCTCTGCCTTGTGTCCGAATCTGTCCTAGTTAAACCTTTTGATAAGATTGAGACATTGTGCCGGAGGAGTGGCTGGATTATCAAGCGTACAGCAGGATCACATTTTTTGCTTTAATCATTGGCTTTAGAGCTGAAAACCATTTACATCCTCCTGTCTGGACTTTTAGATTGGAAATGTAGAATGACTCAGGCACATGAGTCTGAGTCTGGGTAGCCACATTGTAATGCCATGCCCACTTGACCTCCTCAGACCCATTCAAGGGCTTTGAGCTGAGGGAGGCATGTAAAAAGACTTACTGACACAAGGCCCTTTGCATGAGTCTGTGTGTGTGTGTTTGGCTTCCACAGAGCTGGACAATCAGAAAAGGTGGGGATATAGGGAGGGGTCCTTCAAGAAACAGCGGCTATAACTAGTTGTTTCAGGCCGAAATGAGGGTTTTTAACTGATGCCAGTATAAGATGAATAAGGATTTGTTTCAGCTGCAAATCATGCAAATCTACTTTATAGGTTTCAAAGACTGACAACATGAAAGATGAAAATTAGTATAATATGTAAAACCTGGATAAATGGGCATTAGGTCACAGTTGATTGGAATAAACTTTCTCTGATTTAATTTTTGTTTCATGTTATGAAACAACTGCAGTAATAAAGGCATCCCTTTACAGTGCTGATGTCCATCTGTGCAGATGGCAGAGTCTCCCGTGTGTTCAGTGTCAGAAGGCTTCTGACACTTGAGACTGAAAGCCAAAAACCATATTGCAGCAGCTGGTTGTGCGCTGTTCATCACCATTCTGCCTCGGGGACATCCAAGTCGTTTTCCTCTCTGTCTATTTTTATAGTTGGTCCGAGGGAGGTTTGTTTAACTCGATTAGAACTCTGTTTTAATCCTTTTAATGCAGCACATCCCATGAAGACATCTCCCAAATCAAAGTGCTAATCCTCCACTGCAGTGGCATTTCTGCTACTATCATTATTTCTTTTTAATTATTTCCTCTTAATTTCCAAAGAGAGCAGGCTTTCAGCCATCGTGCCAAGTTTTATTTGGATGGTAGAAATGGATACGCACAGGGATTATTCTCGTTAGACAGTGGCACAGCCAGGAATTAATCCCTCCATTAACTGGACCTTGTTACAACTCCTCTCCAGTGGCTATTCTTCCTAAACACTGGGTACTTTGGTGATGCACGGACGCCTTATACATGTTGTGTTTAATGGCCATTAGCAGGACAATGTAAGATACATAAAAAGTCGTTTTCATTATCAGTGACTAAACCATTGAATTATTTAAACTAGTGTCCCCTGAGCTGTTATTGGAACAATTATGCTTGTCGATGCTTTTGATTTGATTCATGAAAGATCAAGGTCGAGTTAAGCAATCAATTGATTTGCTCTCTCTGGTTTAATGGCAGGGTGTGCCGGGGGGTGTCTGTTGGGGCTTGATAGAGCCGCTTTGTAAATGGAATACATTGTGCTGTCTCTTGAAATAAACGAATTCACTCGAATCACACGCCATGAAGGGGGGTTTCAGCCATGTCTCCAGGGTTTTACCAAAGACCAGAGAAGATATACGAACTTAAAGTTTGTAGGATCCTCAATGTTTTCTCTTAACCTTTAGAGACTCCAAACTTCTAAATTCAAACCACAGACCAATGTGGGGATTCTGGCCTTGCTGACTTGCAATGTTTGGGGCCTCTGTTGAGACCCACGTTTCTACCGGCCGTTCCCTTTTCCTCATTGCTCCTTTCTTACCCTCTACAGCTCAGCAGGCTTAGGCAAGATTGACAAGGACTCCAGTGGTCAATACTGGCTTATATACCTTATATACCTTGCGATGGAGTCAGCAGACAACTTTGACTCTGTAAGAAAAAAGTTACAGTTCCAACTGTTCACTAGATTGATGGAAAGTTAAGAGACAAACGAGCGTGCGTGTGCGTGGAATTACATGCTAATGTCATCATGAAAGGTCACATATTTTACTCCTTTTCAACCAGTTTAAATAACTCTCAGAGCTCATGTCTGTGAAGTTTCATGCAAAAAATCCACTCTGATCCTGTATTTCAGCCTGCCTTTAAACCCCTCTACTTCAGCCCTGGTCAGTACAGACTGTTTCGCTTTAAATGCAAGTGAGCTGTGTCTGAAGGACTTAGGTTGGCTTGGGCTTTCTTGTACCATGCTCTATTGTTTACTGTGGAAAGGTGGACTTGTTATGTCCTCAGAGGACCTTTGTGATGTCATGAAGGGAACATCTCCAAATGGCCTGTTTGACCACACATTTTCTAAAAAGTGGACGAGTAAAAGATGGGGAGGGTGGACTTTTCTCATAATTGGAAGGTTTGTAGACAGGTTAGGGACACGTATTAGTGTTAGAACACCATGGTAAAGTGGATGTTGCATAATATGTGACCTTGAAAACATGCTCACAATCAAAGTGCTAACATGTAATTTAAGGTTTACCACATTAATGAATTAAGCTTAGCATATACTACGCTTGTAAAACACAGGGCATAACTAAGGCTGATGGGAAAGTCATTCTTCTTGCACTTTTGTAGTTTACTCTAAGGTGGATTGTCCATACAAGTTTTATATAGCAAGCCATCCAATAGTTGTTTAAACATTTTCTCCAAGGACTAAAACAGTCAAAACGTCTGATGAAAAGTCAAGTTATCACCAAACATTCAAGTGTACAGTATATCATCTTGGAACCAAGATTGTTTAAAGAAGTTTTGCGTAGCAGGAAGATGCTAAGATATTTTACTGAATAAGTGCAAACTTTAAACCTTTGTGCGTAAGACCTGATTCACGTGATCACCGAGGTAAGCAGTATCAGACCGCTGAGCACAGACTCACTATCATTATCATACCATTTCCATATTCTTTGTGTAATGAAGGTTTAGCACGTGCGGTTGACTGTTTGTGTCAATGACCTGGTGATACATCACACAGATAGCAGTAGCAGTGCTGACCTAAGAGCAATTATCTCAAGTCAAAATGAAGTAATGGGACTTGACCTGTGACCCTGAATCAATGTGACTATTCTTGTAAGCTTTTAGTACTAATAGATTTTTTTTCTCCTCTGGAATCCTTTCATCAGCGGGTCTTGCATGGCCATCCTTAATGATTGTGGCAAAAGCTTTAGATTTGTAACAGGCATGAAGGCTGCGAAATGTAACAAGAGAGACTAACACAAAAGCCACTGTAGAGACGTTTCTCACAGGATGTGGACCATGTGTATTGAACACCCGCTTCAGATATTCTCACATCGCTGCAAAAAATCTGGAGTGGCTTTTTTTCCCCGTTAGTGTGGAATAATTGTGGGTTCAGCCAAATCTTTGCTGGCATAGCGCCGTCATAGAAACACTCATAGAATAGAGACAGGTCTGACTATGGGAGAGAAAGTGAAGAGTGATGCATAAGTGACAGCAAGAAGGACAAGTGAAACTTTGAACATCAAGTTGAGGGATTTATTAGAGAAGGGTGAATATAAAGGTACTGTATGCAGGGATTTCTATTCTCTGAGCAAACCACAACTAGTCAAACCTCTCCGTCTATATTTATACGCTACACAACTTCCAATCAAGGTCATCATAGTTAGTGATGTAATCATTAAATAAACAGAATTTAAAAAGGCAATATGATAGACCATAAGCGTGCTTTGGAGAGAAAACACCTTATGCATCATAATTATAATCATCAGGAACAAGGAAACTACTTGGATGCCGACATTTCCAGGTATCTTTAACATAAGTTATTCCTAATACTACAGGTTACATTCAAATTGAAAAAAATATCAAGAGGGAGCATACCGACAAGGATATATTCCCTTTAGAATAACTCCTCTAATGGACCATTCATGATTTCCATTCAGACAGTTTAAATGTGTATACAAGCAGGATATCAACCGCCACAGTTGTTTAAAATGCCCCTCTTCCTCTTCAGATATGCTTCATTTTTTTTTTTTTTTTACTCCCATGTTTTCAAACGTACTTGTGTTTGTGTCACATTTTGGCTTTCACATGTTAAGCTACAATAAGATTGATAAATAGTGTTGGGTGTGTGTGCGCCGGCTGTCTGTGAACCACGAGGCCCACAGTGTTCAAAGGAGCCTCAGTGTGGCAGTTGAATATGTACTGTAGTCCTCCTGAGCTGTCACCAAGCACACACAGGGCAAACAGAGGTGGGTTAACACAATGTAAAACAGGACTTTTTTCTTCAACTTGTCAGCGTCATGTTTTGGTGTTTACTTGTGTAAGCATGACTTCTTTTTTTTTTGCTCTCCCTCTCTTAGAAGGAGTCCATGGCCTTGAATTCGCTGAGGGCCTGGACAGGGGAGATGTGTTTTTTCTGGGAGCCTCGTCGCACGCGTGTCTGGCACTCCTCGGGTTTCTCCCTTTTTACCAGCGGCTTCTTCTCGGGGGCCTTCATGCGCCAAGACACCACAGGTGAGTTGACAGCCGCTGTTCCATACACCTTCTGGTACTTGGTGGAGGCTACGTAAGATGCCTTTACAGTCAGCACCACTGCGTTCATTAGGTTCTTGGCTGCTTGGATCAGGGAGGTGGCACTATCCAGCTAGAAGAGGGCAAGGGCAGTTGAAGGGGGTGGAGAGAAGATAAACACTGATGGTCAACTCATGAAAGTCAAGAAAAGTTCGATGAGAACAATAGGACATCGTTTGCATACAGTACATAGGAGGTCTGTAGTGCAACTGGCAATTAAGCAGAATGAAAACACCGCCCTCCCAATATGACATCTTATTTGAGCAGTTCCTAATTAGCAGAGGCGGAGGTCAGGTGTACCTCTGTCTCCGTCTGTTTTGTTTGGCTGACATTTAAGGGTCGGCGGCCAGTGGGCCTCCTCCTCGCTCACACTGAGAAGAGTCAACTGCTTGGATTTAATGAGTGTGGACTCCAGCTGGCCACCATGAAAAGGTTAAAATCTCAGCAGGGCTTGCATATCACATGTGAGACAAACTGTAATAGAGTCCTGAGAAGTCTCACAAAGAACTCCATCAACACGAGATCCAAGAAAATGCCATGCACAAACTAAAGTCAAGTTTGATTCCAATGAGAGGAACAAATCATAAACGACTCTTTTAGAAGGCTCTGTTTCTGTTGCTCTTACTTAGAAAACCATTTTTTTCATCTATTTCTTCCGGCAAAGAGTTTGTTCAGTTGAGTGACTCCTTATCTTAATTAAGGGTCAACGGTTAGAGGGTGGTGAACACTCTTAAGATTGTAAAAACCCTCTGAGGCACACATATGGTTTTGCTCTGTATAGATTGATTAAACATTTACTTCAGAACAGGCAGTTTGATAATGCCTGTATCTGTGCAGACACCAAAAACATGTTAAATGTATATTACAAAACATTTTACTTTGAGGCCTTCGGAAAAACCTTTAAGAAAGCGACCTACATCAGCTGACTGCAGCTGGATCTCATGTATTAAAATACTTTTCCTTGGTGGCTTTGAAGATAGAAGCGTTATGAAGACATTATGTCCTGTAGAGCTAAAGCGTTTGCAGGTGGATTTGTTATATTTCTGAAAAAGTACAAATCGTTCATATGTGGGTGAGTTGATAGGCACATTACATTATTGTAAGGATAACCGTGTTCAAACGAATCAATATTTTTCATTAAAGCTAAAACCTTTGAAATGGGGGAAATGCCATGAATGTATTAGACAGGTTAAAAGTTAATTGTCAGAAGCAAGCAATATGGGATAATTGACTGTTTTTTTCTTTGAGAAGTAATGATAGGGTTAATGAGGCATGAAAAATACAAATGGAAAAGAGTCTGCGCTGCATCTTTCTGGTGATATTAGATGGTAATCGGCCTGTAATAATTGCATCAGCCTTAATCTGCATGACCCTTCATTTGGTCTTCCAAGCTTCGCTGTGACCTTGAACTAAAAGGTTTGCCACCCACAGCGCTGAGCATAAAATCAGTCTTAAAATGACCAAACTGGTGATTCAGGCCCGGAAGCCTATCTGTAGCATCAGTGATACTGGAGCCGGCTGTGTGCTGTTCTGTATGGATAGACTTACCCCAGACACGATGAGCTCTCCGCCCAGATTCTGAACCTCAGCTTTCACCTTGCTGCAGATGTTCAGCTGATGACAGTACAGGGCAATTCTCTGCAGGTAGGCCAGCAGGTCCTGCTTACAGGCTGAATCAGGGCACTGAAGGGAGAGAGACACAAAGAAACATGCTGTCAACACAAACACACAAAATAAAAGCCAAAGTAGGCTTTGACAGAGCAGCTGAACATGGAAAGAAACTATTTACAAGCAGATTTTAAGAGTCACCCTCTATCAGGGTTCAAGCTAGCTTGCATTGGCTGCTTTGTGATGATTGGCCTTATGGTGGCAGGATGGAGCAATTCATAATGTCCTTTTACACCATGTCATTTGTGAAACAATAAGGATTTATGAGACTCTTCCCATTTGCATGCATCACTGTCAAATGTGTGTTATACGTACAGACAAGGTCTGTGTTGGTAATCACTTCCTTGTTTACTCTTCCACAGCTTCCAGTGGATCGACAAGTAATCATTTACTAGACAGTGAGCAGTAAATTGAGATTCGGGACACGTATCATCATTCTGCATTATCAGTGACATGATGTATGAATACATTCTGTGCACTCAAAGACACTCAAATAACATGACAGGGGTTAAGTATAGAGCACCAGTCGAGTAATAAGGGTGGGATTTAGATGCACTGAAATGGAGTGTATTGGTGGTGTATAGATCATCATTAGGTCAAATATATGACAGGAATGAATTCAAAATGTGACTCAGGGTTGGTTTCCTATCATGGCTGAGATAAAAACAAACATTTGGAGTCAAACCTTTGGCTTTGGAGTTAATGGATCAACATGTAGACTACTATAGTAATAATATCTTCTTTCATGTTCGTACATATTTGTTGACATGTTTTCTTGATTTTAATACCCGATGTGATAAGCAGAAACAAGATGATCTATGATAATCAAAGAACCAACATTTTCAGTGATACAAGTTGTATATGATAATGTCATGGTTAAAATCTAAGAAACCAAAGCATGAGATTTCTTACAGTCACTGTTTTGGTGAAAAGAAAATTGTGCCTCTATTTTGCTAAAATCTAAAGCCAGCAATTTTTGTTGTTTTGTCTCGTTTTAAGTTTGTATGTTTAAAAAGAAAAAGGTTTGAGATGTGAATCATCTACGAAATTGGACAATTTTAGGAACCATGGTGTTTGATGTAGAAGCTGTAGAAAATCCAGGAACAACCATCCCACCAAAAACAGTTGGGTTCCAGCATTTTGGAGTACTAATTACTTTACTCTGAGCCTGGGAGATGTTCCTCAATGTTTTTTGTTTTTTTGTTATCCTCACTGGTGGTTTGTTGAAGTTTGAGTTTCAAAGGCAAGTTAAGATCCACTGCAGGGTGTCACACTGATTCATTTCACATAAAACAAGTTTGTCACAGCTTGTTGCTCGAGAAGAAAACAGATCAATCAACAGTGAATGAAACTTAAGACTTGTAGACACATCAAGACTTGCTTACACAGTATCCCTCTTCTTCTTTTCTCTTTGCTTTTATTTTATTTTTTTAAATCAAAAGTTTTGAACTGGTCATGCTGGCCTGTGTGCTACTTCAACAGCGAGGAAACCAATCATACAGCACGGCAAATGGACGAGAAGGGAATACAACGACAGCCTCCCGAGGTCTCCTACCACCACACAATTCCCCTCCTTATTCCATCTGGAAGCCTTCCAGGTGTCAGCCATGGCCCACTAAGCTCCCAGTGGGTTAAGAACACTGCATCAGCTGCTTAAACACTGTGAGCATCAGTTTGTAGCAACACCTTTCCTCTCGCCATAAATATTAAACGCTCCTAACTAGGACATTCAGCAGCACTGTGTGGGGACATGCAAAGCTCATTTCCTTGTCTTGTGGGCTAGCGGTTGAGTGGGGAAGATGGCAAGTAAAACATAGAGCTGTGATATGAATATACCCCCCTCTAGGATTTGCAGTTTTCCTTCAGGCTGCTCTCCTTGTCTTTGAGAAGGCAAACAGTATTGATTGGACTCGAGTGCCCTTCAGTTAAAAAAAAAAAAAAAAAAAAGCCAGTAAAAAAAAAACGTTTTTCCAAAATTATATGTTCCTCCACCCTTCAAGTTTAAAGGCAGAGGGCAGTACGAAGATTTCCATTTATAGTTACTGCCACTTTTATAACAGGACTTTTAAGAACAGCAAATACGAGCGGCTCTACCACCGGGATCAGTAAGTGTCCCTGAATGCAGACTGAGGTGGATCTGCTAGCTCATAGAGCAGCCAGTGAGGCAGAGGGAAGCTTCTCCTTGGGCATTATCACTGCACCGCCAGTCTGGGCTAGCATCACTGCTAACTGCACATCAAACTGCTGCACACGCACACGCACACACACACACACACACACACACACACACATACACATACACATAAACACACGCACTCTCTGCTGCCTCAGGCAAGTTTGATGCAGACGTGACACAATTGCTCCCTATTGTGCCGTTGACTAATAGTCCATTTCTTCCGCAGATTCCCTGTTGATGTAAATAAACGGTATGGCCCATTGACGCTCTCTCGCTCTCCCCCTCTCTCTCTGTCTGTCCATCATGGTGAATAACACAGTTCATCACAGATGAGGGGAGGAAACTGTGAGGTTAACAGCTTGATGTAGGCTCAGACTTTTGTCACGCGTCTCCTGACCTCACTTCTCTGCTTCTCTCAGCAGACAAACAGGTGAGAAATCTTTTTTTGGGATGTCCCCCCCCCCCCCCCCCTCCTTTGCTTAATTGGACCCAGAATGAGTGGAACGTGCTCCCGGCGGATAATTCAGCGAGATGATGTGAACTCTGGTGCTGAAATGAGGCCATCACACTATCAGAGTGTGGCAGTCTGTCAAAACACAAGTCACACCTCTCACTGATGCTGCATTCATAAGCAGGCTGGGGCCGACCTTTTCCTCAATAATTCACAGTGTAAAGAGAAGTCATTTTTAGCCTGTTTTCTTTTTCTTTTCTTTTTTTTTTAAACTTTGAAGCTTGTGTAGCTTGTCCTTAATTACTATTTTAATGGCATTTCTGCGTCATTACATATCCGATGGTATAGCAGACATGTTTGAGAGTGTGAGGGATGACAAGAAGACGATACAATGACAGATTCAAATGGAGCATGTTACACATGGTTACACAATATTCCCTCCAGCTGAGTGGAAACTACAGTCCTGGTGATGGAAAGCTGTCACCTGTCAGTTTCTTTGAGAAAGCTGGTAATCTTTCTATTTGTTCATCCAGTCTCAAAGAATAAGTGCTTCTGGGTTCTAGCAACCAGCAAACTCATCTTCCTATTTACACTTTTCCTTTAAAAAAAAAAATCATACCATCTGGTGTTTTGAATATGGAATTTGGATGAAAAAAAAAGCAACATCAATGATGAAGACATCCACTCAGGTGACCTGTTGTTCCCAGTCATGTCAACTGTTCTTCTGAAGATATATTCATCTCTAATCTGCCGTGTTAGCATTTCATTGAAAGTGAATCTATCGTGTGGGGTGCGAGCATCATGAAGAGAGTATTTCTAAGGCATTCGTACAAACAGTAAAAGTTTGATGTTCTGGTGGAGTCAGAGGTTTTGGTTTTGTTGTGTGAACATGTTTACAGGGATTTAATCGGAGGATTCACTTGTCAAATTGATTCATTCAGAGGCTTTGTAGGGGCCTAAAGAGGTGAAGGTTTCCGATATTTCACAAAGATAACCAGAAAAATAGAGAACATTCTGAAAGTAGACATAAGTTATGTTATAAGGAGGGAGAATCAGGTTCAGATTTTTCTCATGAGTCCATGTGGTTTTCAGATCTCTGGGTTAAAAGAAATAACACAGTCTACTACCCAACACATATGTACAATCATTAAAAACAGATTTAGGACAGAAGGTAAGCTAGAGACATATCTTCTGTGAGTTGAATCCAAATGTTGAATGTGACGCGTTAATTAAGGGTTTGTCAAACTGTGAGGTGCACAGGCTCAGTGGGATGAAGGCTGCTGCTGAGAGCATACACAGGTAGAGATTGATGCAAAGATAACTGTATGAGGGGAAAGAGGTAGACGCATGCTGGTGCTCTGAAACTACATGAAGTTTATTATGTGTGGGTTTGTCCTGCTGATTTGGCTGCTTAGCTGTTGGAGCTGCAACAGACGCTGTGATGTACAGATCGAGAAGGCAATTAAGACTGTTTTAAAGCTTAATGGCTCCAATTTATGTCAAAACCTGAACTCCTTCTCAGAGTCATTAGTCAATCAATTTAAATCACACTCTCAGAGAATATTATTATTAACAATGCCATATAAAACTTTAAAGATTTAACTAGGGCGTCTTTTATGTGAATCCATAGGTTAATTAAGAACTGTTAATACAAACTGTAAACACGTCCAATTTGCCAAAATGGAACAAGTTTTCTGCAGGCTGGCAGAGTACTAGAGTGATACTAAAGGGGTTCTTACACTTTTCAACTTGGGTCCTCCAAAATAAGGGCGCCAGAGACGGGGACCCCCACTGGAGGAGGTTGTGCCCCTTCCTCTCGGCCTAGAACATCCACATCTATCAGAAACCGCCATTTTTGCTTTGGAGACGGCATGCTCCATAACACTATCTAAACAGTAATAACAAAAGAAAAACACAACAGCCTAAAAAACATACAACAAGTGTATTTAGTAAGTTATTGTAAGAAAGGCTAGAAGCAGAAAACGTCATTTCCTGACTTTAGCACTGAGTGAGTATTCAAATTCCCCTATTGGTGGATCACGACCCACCTTGGGGTCCTGATCCCCACATTGGGAAGCATAGAGTATAGTGTTATACAAGTAAGCGTGGCTGAAAATAAATCCCGTGATATTACCTTTTTACAAGTTGCACAGAGGAAATGTGTTTTCTTACTTCCTGGAAAGCTGACCATTCTCAGACTTTCACTTGGTGATAGCATTTTTTATTTGAAGACTCTATGTATTGACTCCTCTGGACAGCTATGGTCTCAGGTCTCAATGTTTTTCTCTTTCTGAGAAGCCTTTTAATTACACATCAGTCACACTCGGTTTCTCTCCTGTCAGTAGAAGATGTTGCGAGAGATCCTTCGGCAGCAACAGCTAAAGGGAAACCTCAGAGTCTGAATACTTAACTTCAGCCTGGCATGTGTTTCGCAGCATTCGTTAACAAAAACATGACACTGTTAATCATGTTCTTTCACACTAACTAATGCTCAAAGTAAAAGTGATTTGATATGCGTTGCAAAAGAAAAGCACAGTTGAAGATTTAGGCATATAAGGCTGTAACTTAGTCAACTGTACACTTCTATTCTTGTCAGAGAACTAGACAAAGGTGCACCTCTATAGTTTACGTCGATTTGGTATCACTTTCCAAATGCTGCATCCACTCAGACTAGCACAGTAGAAATCTGTGTCTAAAAATAGCCCTCCCAGAATTGCAGCATTTAGCCCCCCTCTTGATCCAGGAACTTTACATAACAACATTCACCTTTAAATAACCACACAAACTTACTGACATCAACGTCCGCCAACACAGGTAACGTTAAGGCCAGATGGTGCTGCAGAGTTACTCAGCAATCAAACGCTGATACATGCAGTTAAAAAAGCCAATGTGTGCCTCAGAATAGGTGCACCTGATGTTGTACAGCTGCCATCCACTCTTTAAGTTGTGTCTGTAGGAGGCACACTTAAAGAATTAAACATAGTAAGGGAAAATAGAGCGAGAGAAATAGAGTCGAAAAAAAGGCAGTGCTTTAGTGAAATGGGGTGAGCTGCCTCCAGGGTTTTTTGTTTTTTTCTATGTCGAGGGTTGTGCTGAAACGACAGCGAAAGCGCTCGCCGTTCCGCCAGCCTTTCCACGCAGAATTGACTTCTGCTTCACACATGTTCATCAATAGGCTGATGTGCAGTCATGGCGACAAGGTTTTCTACTTAAGGGACCTGTCTGAAAGCGGCGCAGCACCCCTCATGCTTACTGTCAAACCGCAGAGCTCTCCACAAGCACAGGTTAGCTACTATAATGTGTGAATGCAAAATACTTGTCCAGCATAAAAGACGGATAAGCAAGGCTTTGTTATTTGTTGTGTAATCCCATCAAGATGCCTAATAAAAAGGAAACTTTTGCAGTTTGAGGATTTAATAATGCACCATACATATGCCTTAAGTGCCTCACATGAAAACACTTTTATAACAAATGCATGTTGGAAATAAAAAGGTCCTTAAGCCCCTCTTTATTTTCTGACACGGCTCTGATGTCTGTGGAAGTGCAACAGAAGGCTTTGAATATTCAGTAAACACTGGTCTAGGAACCATTTAAGTGAGAATTAAAAATGGCAAGCCACCTGCTCTTTTCATTACAGCAACTGTTGATTCAGACTCCGGCTCTTGCCAGTGATTTGCCATGTGACGGATCCACTCCCACCTAAAACCTTGTTAAACACTGATGATCACTTCGGCAGCCTCCAGCCTAAGTAATGACTTCATAAGAACACAAGTCATGCCTACTTTGTCCTTTGTGTCCCAGATTTCGCTCAGAAACAATAAGCTGCATCGCAGATTGAGAGCATCTTCCAGAGAGAAATGTCCTCATGCAAACGTGTTTCCAAACAGGGCTCGTACACATTGAAATTGTCTCCTCATCCCTCAGTGTGCGTTGTTGTTTTCTTTGGACATGGCTGCGTTAACAGGCGATCATCGCCATGAGGAGACATGAAGAGAACGATGCCAGCGTTGACTTAAGATGCCTTCTGGTAAGCTAAGAGCTTAGCTAACTTTGCAGCCACTCAGACTGACAGGCTTTCTGTTCTGAGAAGTCAGACTGTCACATGAAGACACGGGGTAGAGGGTTACACTGTAGGTGGAAAGAAATCGCCTCGTACTGATATAAGAAAAACCTTTGTTGTCAGGTGTCATGGGATCAAATCTTGTTGTGTCATATTTAAAATATTGTCAATAGAAATAGTGATTGGTAAATGGACTTGAGCTTGAGATACAATGACTCTACCAACTGAGCCACTGCCGCCCCTAGAAATTGTATTTCAAAGTGAAAAGCAAGTCGTTTTAGTATCTTCTTTGTATTGGTTTCCAGTTGGCTGGATATTATAGAAGCTTGTTAGCATGTTTGAAATACAACCTTTTGGTTAAAGTTGGAGAGAACATTTTGTAAAAGAGAATCTTCGAGTAGAACTTGCTCTTAGATATCACAGATTTTCCAACATTTCTAACATGACATTTAAAATGTATTCAGTTATTTGTGAAACTTGTTGAAATGTCCCCCACTGTTCAATGAATGCAGATTTAAAATAAGAGTATTTTGAGGACTGTGAGGCCTCCTTTGTAGTTATTGATGTAGCATGTTCATCCAAACTTATTTACAGAAAGGAAAATGAAAATGCTGCCAAAGAGCCTGAGGTAGAGTGACTCAAGTTTGGTGTATGATTCTAACGGTAAAGCGGCTTTGTTTCGCGCGTCATGTCCAGGCTTTAAGCCAGTTGCAGGACTTAAGGACAAAAGATTTGTTTACCGTGATTCTAAATTTTAATGTGGTCTCCAAAATTTCTCCTGCTAAGCAGCACTGGAAAAAAGCCCAGCGTGTGATACTGAAAGCAGCTTTAATTATTCCAAGGGTTTGCTTGCTAACAGCAGTTGCAATTACAATGACGACAGGCTGCCTTAATAAATCAGCCAGTCTTGTGCCTTGGTTTATTCTCAGTGCTTATTAAAGACAGATGAAATGAAGAAGGAGAACATTATGCATTACCTGGTGTGCTGCATTCTGAAATACCTCCCACATCATTTGCAACACACACACACACACAGGCACACACACACTTACACAGCACAGTGTACACACCTATTTCTTCTCCCTCCTGTCTTCCCTCAGCACGGCACCGATTGATTAGATATTGAAAATGGTCTGTCAGCGTGTTTTAGAGAGGTACTCATCTGATAATGAATGCAACACCTCGGTTGGAAGCTAATTATATTAGAGCCACAACTTGGTTCTGCTGTCTTGCTCTCTCAGTGTTGGCCCCACTGAGAGATGAAGTCATGTGGCACCGAAGCCCACTCTAGCTGGGCCCGTCAATGCCCACATTAAAGATTTCCAATGGCCATGCCCACTTACTCTAACTCCAAATTTGCTCTACGACGGGCTGCAGTGACACATCTGAGACAGTTTTCAGACTGATAAAAAAGTGTAATGATTTAAAACGACAGTGACGGACACAGCTTCAAAGGTACCTGATCTGCGACAGCACGGGCCAATTTGTCCATCCTCGAGCCAGCCTCGGCAATCTTCTTAGCCGCGTTGATCACATCTGAGGAGTTCTTCAAGGGGCCTTTGCCTCTGGGAAAATCCAAGGAGTGAGACAGAGAGAAAAAAAAAGGGGGAATATGGGTGGAGTTGCAAAGACAGAGGATGTGCAGAGCTTTTCCTTAAAAGACCGAGCTTACCCCTGTGTCAAACAAGCTCGTACAGACGCTAATTTGCTTTGGCTGGCAGCAGGGATATTACATATAACAACAAATACGTTAAACCTTTCTCTCTAATGATGTATCTTAGAGACAGATGGGATTCGAAGCCCAAAGAAAACATTTTTTTTTTTTCCGAAAGCAAAAGAGGAGAATTTTCTGAGCAGTTACAGAAGGCAACAAAACAGGAGGGGAAAATAATGACCAACTACTGAGTCTCTGATCAGTGATGTATCTCTCCCAGCTCAGGGAATGTTAATGTGGCCAATATGATTTTTTTTTTTTTTGTGTGCCTGTGTGATGCCTAATTTTTAGTCATTGCTTAGCTGAAGTTTGCACTCAGTTTGTTCATGGTAATCTGACTAACTGGGATCGTTGCCAAGTAATAATGGTGAAGTGACAGCACCACAGCCCTAATCACTCATGACTAATCACTAATGGCTCTGTTTTTTTATTTCATTTTTTGGTTGTCATATAATTGCAGACTTGATACACAACCCCATGCACGAGGCATTTTTCGGAATATCCCAGATACAGTATGTGGAGCCCAGATGGGGGATATTGAGAGCAAAGCTGCTGCCTTTTAGTAAACAGAAGCTACAAGACTTTTAATGCGAGCAGATTATCTTCGACGGAATATCTTTGAATCAGAGCTTTGCAACATAGTCTGATCAAAACAAAGGTTGGCGGAGTCAATTTGCCTGGAACAAAACAGTTTGCAGCTCTGGGGCATTGCAAACGCGAGCATGTTTCTCTGCAGTCCCACTTGTCACTTTATTTACTTACTGCTGCATAAACAGAGGATGAAAACACTACCTGTATGGGAAAAGGGGCTTTCTAAAAGTGAATCCACAGGGAATGATCACCTGACACTCAAACATAGCTGTACTAACATTTCATTGTTCAAGAAATCTCTGATACCTACCGTACACTAAATACGCAGTCCTTAATAGCTGCAAGACAAAGTTAGCAATTAACTGGTGAGCAAAGCAGAGCATTTAGCAGCTAAGGAGCTCATTATTTCCCTTTAGAGTTGTGTGTATCTGCAAGATGTGTAAACATGCAACTGTTTGCCGACAAATAAACCTTATGAAGATAGAATGAGATTATCCATCATTGCTGTATTTTCGACTCATTTTTACAGCCTTTATAACCTTTAATTGTTGGTCTCAAGTGCTTTGTATTTGGTGACATATTTTACCTGGTGAAGTCCGTCATCTCCATCATGATCATGCACATCTGCTTGGCGAGCACGATGATGTCATTGCCATTGTCATCCCACTTTGCCACTTCTGCATCCAACTTGCACTTCTCCTGTCTGAAGCTCTCCACCTGCTCAGCAATCTTGGCCTTTTCCTCCTGGGGGAGCTGTGCCATGATGGCCTGCAGGCGAGAGGGAGAGAATACAAGAAACAATAACATTAGAGGAGGGGACATGAGGGTGTTAGGGAGTGAATTGAAGCAGAATAAATGGGGAAGATGGCTCAGAATGAGGGCAATGCCAGAGGAGAGGAATTAAGGTAAAGGGAGGAGATAAGGTTGGGGAGAAGAGAACGATAGGGAAATGAGGAAAGGGGCTAATAAGAAGAGGGATTAGTTGAGGAGAAAGGGAATAAAATAAGGAATATAAAGAGAAGAGCTGTAGCACCATTTGTTCTTTTTTTTTTTCACCCCATCTACTTTTTAATCCCCCCTACAAAAACCTGACCATTAAGTTTGGAGCCTGCCTACCCCTGCCCTTCTGAAATGCTTCAAAATAAAGTTCTAAACTTTACATTTAATGACTGGACCTTTTCAAACCCCCTGACATCTTATATCCATAAAGAGCAAATCCATTTTTTGCCTTCATTTTTTTTTTCTCCCTTGGCAGCTTTTGGGGGGCAGGTCCAAAATGGCATAAATCTTGTGGCAAGGTCACAGGCGCAGTAAGTACTCGGTATTATTTGGGAGATAAATGTATAATTACCTCGCTTCTTAGAGCAGGGGAATGAATAATGCATTTGTTCAACATTATGTCAGGGAGGTGAGATGGAAGGAAGAGTAACCTGGTTTCCATTAGGTCGATTCTATTGACTTGAGAGGCAGAGTGTGAAAACGAGTACAGTATAAAAGAAAAGTCACCATTGTTTTTTTTTAACCTCATCTATTATTGACCGTCCTCCAAGAATTGTGATTCTCTAAATGAAATAATCGCCCTCCATTTTCCCTCTTGCTTATTTGCTCTGTCACAGCAAAGCTGTTATGCAGGGGTGCGGGGTGAGCTCACTGTGAAACTGCGTCACTTTGCTCATGTGCCCTCGTAGAAGTGTTGGGAGGCAAATGAAAACAAAAAAAAAATGAGTTGAGTTGTGCGCCAAAAAATTCTTCGAAAGAGAATGAGCAGAAACATGAGGGGGCCGCGGCGAAAAGAGAGAAAATTGAAATTAAAGATGGAAACAGAGAAGCAGAGAGGCTCAACTCTCCTCATCACAGGCCAACAGATGTGTCCATGAGCTCTGGCCTTCTGATCACTGTACGCACCGAGTGGTGCAAAGCTTTGATGGCGGTTAGCTTTCGAAACGGCATAAACAAACGAGCAAAAAAACACAGCCCCCTCAAGCCCAGTGTAGATTTCCTCTGCTGTTGGTGCCAAGACACACAAACAACAGAGCGGCTGCAAATCCCATTAAACAGCGTGTGGGGTGAGAACACTGCTCACATTCAAAACAAATACCAAGTTAATATGTATTTAGACTGAGGAATAAATAATTCAAAACAGAGCAACTGATTCCAGTAGGGAAAACTTGTATTTAATTTGCAGGTATGCTCGCACGTGTCGCTATGAATAATGGGTCGCACACAGCAGGCGGGGGGCTCTGGGGCCCCTGCAGAACCATTTCTTTATTTTATGACAAACATCCCCTGAATACCAATCAGATATACTTCCTAAGTTTATTTCTTAGTTGTATTTACTAACTAGAAAGATTCCCTTAATAACCAAATGTGAACCAAATGTCCCATACTTCAAATTTAACAAATAGCATAGGTAGTTGGATAGTTAGCGCTGGCTGTATAAGTCTGCTCACATTGCACCCTCTGTACTGACTCATGCCTCCTTTTGATTATGGCCTCAGCACCAAGCAGTAGTTGCTTGGTGCTGAGTAGAGTCGGAGTCCCTGCTGTGCTGAGCTGTGTGTTTCTTTGTGGGCAGTGACAGAGTCAGAGCCTACATGCTAAAGTGTTAACACCATACATATAATTCTACATTCATATCATTATCCCTTCAACATGGTTGGCTGACTAAACTCTTATTTCTGCTTTTTGGATTCAGCATTTGATGTGTGTTATTTTTCTGATTTGTTTTTATTTTTTCTTCATGTGGATTTCAACAATAACATGTTTTAAAATTCAAATTGGTTGGAATAAAACAACAAACTTTTATAAATGTTAGCCTCAAGACTTCAACATTTCAGTCAGGTACTTCTTGTGAGCTCTCTCTCAGCTTGTGGTCCTGTGTAGTCAGTCCCTGCCTTGTTGTTGATTTGTGATTTACATGTTCAGGTTTATTGTAGCCAACACAGAATACTGCAAGTGAAGCTGCGCTGTAACTACAGCACTAACTCTAACTCTAACTACTGCTGTAATAGTTTCCCAATCAATAATAACACAGGTGAGTGCACTGTGCCACTAGAACTTTCTGACCTCAGGACATAAGGACAGTCATTAGCATATCTTTGCTGCTCATATTATTCCTGAACCCAATTGTTAAGGCATCAATTATTTACTTACTCATATAATTAATTGAGTAGTATGCCGCTGGTGCAAATGGAATGTCCATCATTAAGAGGGACCATGCAGTTTGGATTCTTCAGCTAATGCCCATGTAAGGAGTTCGATGGTCTCTGTCAAGTGTTCACCAATAAATCATGATCATCAGAGGTTAGGGTATTGCTGTAAATGCAATCACAATGCGTTACCATGTTCTTCTGCACATAAGAGCTGCAATAAACCAACACGTCTCCTAAACTCAACAATTTGGATTTTGAGATTCCTTTGCTAAAATTAGGGATCAAGGGCGGTTGGGGAGAGACAGTGAGGGATTTGGTCTGTATTCAAATTCACTCTGAAAAATGGCGTGACAAAAGAAGCGAACGAGTCGAAGAAGAAGAAAGAGGGAAGAGAGAGACAGGGGGCTTCTGAACACAAAGGAGAGCTGCAGCACCGGGGTAAACACATGAGCCAATTGGGACGTCAGGGGAGCAGGAAGGCACTTGGTGGAGCCCCCTCCTACCCCCTCCTCCCCTTGCTCTCTAGAATTCACTTATCCCCAAATCCCTTCCCCTACTTTACTGATAACAACAAGGAGCGGGCCTTGGGAGCTTAACATAGTGGCAAATCCGGCCGAGGGAGTGCTGTGCCAATACACTCTGCGACTCGGCTACGTCTGCAGGGATTAGAGCGCTTTCCGGGTTTCTTCACTGAGCGCGGCGTCTTGAAATGACTTTAATTTGTTTCATTTGAAATAAACTGCCCAGACACTCAGAGTTCAATTTTATGGATGACCTATCAACGGTGTTATCCAATCACTGTGTTAAGAGATGTTGTGTGTGCGTGTGTGTGTGTGTGTGTGTGTGTGTGTGTGTGTGTGTGTGTGTGTGTGTGTGCGTGTTGAACGGGCGTTATGTGTTTGGCTTGCTGAGCATTAACGGCCGTGTTTTAAAGACTGAGAGTTTCTGTCGTCATGTTCTAATAGAAAGAGACACTATGTCCAGGTCTACTTCCCCAGTGTGTGTTTTTTTTTCCTCTGCTTCCTCATTATGCATGTTTGCTCTAATAACTTAGCTTTATGCGTACGCAGAACAGAAGAGACAAGTGGAGCACCAGACAAGGCAAAGGCGAGGGAACAAAGGCCTCTGGGACAGCCCCAGACTTGATTTGATGTATTTTTTTCTACACAGAGCAAAAGAGAGAAATCCCGAAAGTGAGAGGGAGATAAAACGCCGGTGTCATGTGTGTGATACGCCAACAGGCTCGGAAGGATCACGGCTGTAAACCTCAATGTGCTCATGTCAGCTCCTATATGGAGAAAATGGATTACACTTTTTCTTGCCGGTTTGAATGGAAACACAAGTGTGCACTTGGCATGACGGGCGAAGCTTCATCCTGACACGCCAGGCTGAGGCTGACCGGGCAGATCACCAGGGGTTCACAGCAAACACATCTTTTATGGATGTGCCAGTCTTCTGCGTGTGCAAATGTTTAGCCTCTCAGGGCATAACAGTGTCTATGAGTGGAAAAACAGGCGATATCAATTAACTGTGTGAGAGGCTTTGTCGGAAAGCCAGATATATTATGTGATGTGAGAGACAACGCACACTTAATACACCAATTGGAGTAATACCATTATTTGACACTGCGATACATCACAGTGCATTTAGAGGATGTGAGCATGAGTGCATATCTTGCTAATTGAGGGTGCCTGAGTAAACATTACACACACCACCGTCACCCTATAATCCAATATATATCCGTAGAGCAACACGATATGACCAAGGGACACGCTGCTTATTTCAAACTGTTCCCAAGTAGAGCTGCCCACTCAAAGCACGGTTAAGTGCCAGGAACAACTAGTGAACAGTTTGGTGCTGTGAGGCTCCTTTGTGTAGCGGCGCTGGTGCTAGCGGCTAAGCTCAGATGGCCCTGCAATGTACCGCTGCGGGAGCCTAAGTGGGCGTATACATAGAACAAACTCGAAGCACTTCAACACCCAGGACCCCCGCAGTCACTTTTGGAGGAGCTATTGTACACCCAACACTTGGGTCTCTTCTTTCTGTAACGCTTTGGAGTTGAAGTGGGTAAGATTCAAAAGTCTCTTCATCAATCAGGAGTTTTTTGAGTTAAGACGGATGTAAACTGTATTTTCTTTTATTATAAAGGGTTTGAAATACACAGGAACACGACTGTGATTTTCTTACTTTTTTATCTTAATGTATGTTGTGTTGCTGATCTGTTTCAGGTCAATACAATCTAAGATTGGGTGTGCCTGAACTAGTGTCATCTTCAATAGTAAATGGACTTCAGCTTGTATAGTGCTTTTCTTCTGACTAATGCATTAACTTATCTAGCTTTATATTAACAAACCAGATATTAATATGAACTGTCATGGTGAGTCACTTCATTGTGCATTTCCTATTTTTCTCCTGTTTTCTTTTTTTTTTAAATTAAATTGTACTTTTGTTTTACCAGGAAGTCCCTTTGAGTTGATCAATTATCAATGTTATGCTATGAGTAGCCATTCATTTTTCATCTGATGCTGTTTATAACAGTTACATAGTTTCACTTCAGTGTCAGTAATGTTCATCATGTTCTAACGTTGTTTTTCTGATAAATATCCAATAAAATCACAACCATTCCTATACAAAGCTATACTAAGCTGTACAAACAAGCTGAATAGCACGATACAATAACAATAATAAGCTGCTGTTTTAGTTGTATTTTGCTCTCCACTCTTTGTGCATCACCCCGCTGTGTGTATTGACTATGTAGAGACTCAGGCAGTATTATGCAGGCCTGTGCCACAGGGAGAGGCATTGGGCCAAGTCTTACTCCTGCCATCCACAATCCATTTAACACGCAACACACCGCTAGAGCTACTGTTCTGCTGGAGGGGAGCTATCGCTGATACCCTCTTAATGTACTTTAAGCTGGGCCCAAGTGAAAAATAGCTAATGTGCAACAAAGCTCCGACTCTGGTGATCACAACTGAAGCTTTGGCACAGCAATAAACTGTATTCTGTTATTGTTTGGCATCTTAAGGGACTTTGGTAATTATTCCTTTGTTTGCGATTGCAATTTTACACCTGCCATCCCTAAACAGTGTTTATTCAAATAATCCTGTTGTTACGATCATTATAATGGACTTTCATACTATTTAAGTGGAACTATTTGGACAATTTGAATTACTGGTATCAGGAAGAAGGGGCGAGCTCAAGCTTAATTGCACCTCAGCCTAATACTGAAACAATAACACAGCAGTCTATTGGATGATGAATTTGGGATTTGACACAAGCAAAACAGATCTTTCATTTTTCTGTACTTTTTCTGTGAAGCACATTAGGGGTGCAGAAATGCAAAATCTTCTCTAATCGACTACTCTTCCCATTGTTAAAGCGAGTACTCGAGTAATCGTTTTGTAGTTCTTTTTTTTTTTTTTCTGTGATTCTTTTCCCCCACGGGAGGCCCCGCCCCCAACTATGACGCAATGCCAACTGTATCTATTGATTAATTTGAATCTTCGGGATTTGATTAATTGTTAGTAAGAGGCCTTTGTATTAACATTCAAAATACGACATGTCTTACTTCAACAGACAGCACACCTCAAATAAAAATTGGTTGTAAAGCGGTAATCGCAAAGTGAAAGTCTTTCTTTTTCTGTGGACTAAAAAGACAATTTGAACTGAACTTTCGTAGATCATATTGCATATTTCGTTTGTTTGGGACTTTTTGTTCATTGTGAATTCATAGGGGGGTTAATTAAAGGGATATTTTTGTTAGGGTAGCAGCGTACAGATCAACAACGGACGCGTTTCAGCACAGAGCCTTTATCAGCGCTTTGTTTGTCATCTATTTTCTCTTTTTCTGTTTTGAATTAGGCCTATCCTAGAACCCACAATGCAACAAGAAACATTTACAAAAATGTGTACTACAAAACGATTATTGATTAAAAAAAATTGTAACCGATTATTATTTAATGAACGAGTACTCCTAAAGCACATTCAATGTACTTTTTGTTCAGGGAGGAACCGAACATGAACTCACCCGAGCACTCTGTCCGGCAATAAGCTGATCATCTTCAGTCTGGACACTAGTCCTGCTGCGAGTGTCATAGTCCTCCTGCTCAAAGTCAGAGTCGTCCTCCAGCTCCTCTGGTGTCTGTGAGAAAACACAAAGTTGTAAAACAGTCAGAGAGGGATGGAGAATGAAAAAAATACATGACTTGTAAATTGACAGCTCAAAAGGACAATTTTCTTTGCCTTCATGCCTCATTGTGCAGGAATCCAGAGTAAGAGAAAGCATAGCCCCGTCTTGTCGTTTTCACTGTACAGAGCCTCATGGGGAGTTTTAGCTACAACCAAGCTTATTATATGACAGACAGCAAACTCAACACAATTACAATATTCAAATTTCAGACTGAGTTGCTCGCAACAAGTTTGAAATTTTCCCAAAACACACTCGAATGAGGCAAAAAGAGCCCAAAACATAAAGGCTGAATTTACATTTTTGGCCACACACCTCCTTACACAAACAAAGAGTTCTGTCAGAATAACAGTAAAGAGGTGACCGTCTTTAGAAATGCAGAAAAAGGCCTTGTTTTTCCATATTTAATTGTTAATACTTTTGCTTCAGTGAAAAGGCAAAAAGACACACGTTCCAAACATTTCAAGAATCTTTCTGGCATGGACAGAACAAGGGGAGGGTTATTTACATTTGGACAACTTGCATGTTTTCATTTTAAACAAAATCTTTTAACCCATTTGCAAAAAAAACCTGGTTAAACAAAGAAATACAAACATATGAAAAGGTTTTATGTTAAAGGCTCACACTGTAAGTTTGACACAAGAGAGGAGCAGTGTCAACAGAATGGTTTTAACTTCAGGCATAGTTCTGTTTCTTTGTTCATGTCATGAAAAGGGGGAAATACACAAAGAAAAGTGTGTGACTGTAATCAAAGAGTTATTTCTGCAAACACAAAGTGTACTTTGTAACAAAATGTTTGACTTTTGACAGTGTACACATCTCTGCCCGGAAGATCTGTGCACTGTCATCATATTCTAAGATATGTCATGTTTAATCATTGCTATGTGTTATCTGTTATTCCAAAAATCACATTAAAACAAGCAATGACAGCCCTTTGATCTGTTTCTTTTTTTACAAAGTTAAAATGGCATGCAGCATTATTCCACTGTGCTTGATATCTGCACAAGCATTCCCAGCACAAACAATTTCTGGTCTCTCATCAAATAAAATAAATTGGAATATAAATGAGTAATTTCTCTTGCATCTGCTCAATGTGAGAGACTAAGTGATTAATGGCTGAAGGGCTAATTAACATGAGTGTGGGATGCCAGATAACTTACTAACACACACATGTTGATCACATGTTGCTGGCTCACCTCTGACTGGGCTACATCACCATGGTAACATATGCTGAATAGATTGTGCAGAAGACAGCACAAGATCAAAACACGCATGAAGAGTCAACACTCCTACATGATGCTGACATTTAAGAAAACCACCTGCATTCACAGCACGGTCACAGGTTTGACATGCAAAGAGCACAGCTACTCGACCTGCTGGAGTGTTGTTAGCTATAATAGGAAGATAAATAACAGCCTTCTAATCAGTTTTATTCATCCTTAGCAGGGAAAACAGAACCACTTTAAGTGTTTTGACTGAATTTGTCTATAAAAGTCGACAATCTATTCTACTGAAATGATCATAATTTCTTTTGGAATACATCTTGATTTATTTTGATTACATGAGTTACTCTTTATGTTATCTGCTGTGTTATCTGCTATGTTTTTTGATTAAGTGCCAATATTTGTATTTCCTGTTTTTGTCTGAATGCATTCGGAGCAGGATTCCAAAGGGAATGATTCATTGTGAATATTATTTTCACGAGTACTCTGTCTTATTACTTTGACTGCTAACATACTACACAGACTGTTCGGTTTGCAGGGTGTGTCCTAACTACAGCTACATTGATATGAGAACTATTAGCAGCCTTCTGGAAAAAATACTTTTTTAGTTGGTTTTTAGTTTAGATGGTTGGTTTTAACATAAGTCCCGCCTCTGACAGGGCAAATAGCCAATCACAGTTCAGGATTTTTGGTGATTTTTGGCATGCCACCTCTTGCCACCCCTCTGTTGATTGGCACGTGGCAGCTGCAGGCAAAGAGGTTTCTGGCAAAACCTCCGCCGCCAAGGAACACAGTAACACGGAATATTGTTCTGTTATCTAAAGGTTATTCGTCCGTTCACCTTGTTGTAATTTCAAAATATGATCACTTATTGCCTTGACACCCCTGGCAACCCCTCTGGACACGCCCCGCAGGCAGAGAGGTTTCTGGTGAATAAAAACCCACAGTAATGAGGTAGATTGTTTTGTTAATTAAGGGTTATTCTTCTGTTTACCTTGTTATAATTTCAAAATATGATTCAATTATTGTTATTGTAATAACATTTTCACGATAGTTAAGTCTCTCTCTTGGTAAACTAAACCCCTGTGCAGTGCTGTGGCTTCTGATAAGCCTTTATATTTAGGAATCTCATATTAAATAAAGATGATTTATGAGTTTCATCATCTCGGTGGGATCTTATTCACAGCAACCTCAATTCTGTTCTGCTTGAGCTCTAAACTGCCAGTTGAACTTATTCATTTGTTGAGAAAAAGAAGGGAGTGTAAACACTGGATATTAAAGTTGCTGGTCTCCAACCACTCTTCAATTTCATCCAAGGTCCATTCTATTGGTACTTCTATCTTCATAGCCCTCCTCTGCTCTGTGCGTTTGTGACTGTGTGTATGTGGGTACATAAAGGCCAGGACAGAAGTGTTTTTGATAACTTTCATTAGAACTTCCCTCTCCTCTCCAGACCTGCCTCCATTTTTAAACACTGTGGAGAATTGGTTTCTTAATCCACCGACTGCTCATAAGATCTGTGCTGTAAAAATTCTAAAGGGGATATTACGCAGCTTAAGTAGGAGAAGAATAACACGGGCACAAAAAAATTGGGTACACAAAAAAAAACTATTAAGCATGGCCCCAACATTTGCTATCTATATGATAGAGTTAGACAGCAATGAAGGCAAGGATCTTCCAAGTAGTTTCCTCAGAAAGTAATTGAACTTGGATGGGATTATGAAGCCAGCTGGTCCCGGGCAGTTCAAAGCTGCCTGTTTTACATTATTTACCAACATCAAATTATTTTCCATAATTAGATTTTTTCCAGAGCTGCACTGGGAAACCTTCCAGCTTGCATAAAGTTGAATAAATGAATTACATGGTGAAGAGAGAAGGGCCAGTTGGGGTGAAAAATGCAGATACTGTATCATCAGAGTGGGTGTGTGACGCACAGAGCTGCTGGTGTTTGCAGCTTTTTTTTTTTTTGCTTCATGACGTGCTGTAAAATGTTCATGTGACGGGTGCAACTGCTCAAATGGGAATGCTTTTGAATTTCATTTCACTATCATGATTGTCTCTTCCTTTAAACTCATCAGCGACATTTTAGTCTGGAACACACTTTGCAAAACAAAAATGCCCCACAGGTGATTCTCTTAAATAAAAATGTTAATGCACAAACCTGACACACGCCTTTAAGTGTGACAAATTCTTCTTCACAAGAGTGAAGAGCAGAGGATTTAATGACCATACCACATTAAAGGGTCTGATTTTTATCTTTGTAAGAGGGGTATTTTCAAATAAGTAGGAGGCAAAAAACAGAACTGATGGACTTGCAATAAAGGGGATCATCAGTATGCATTCAATATTCTTTAAAACGTCTCAATGGCTGACCATACAAACACTTAGATATAAATACATCACATGTCTGCATTGACAAACAGCCAATCACATTTCTCATGTATTGGAGACACCAACAATAATATAATTTACTGCCCTCCCTTGTGGTCAGCATTTTAAACACTCAAAAAAAGAGAGACTTTTTTAAATTTGGAGTGCTGGACCTACCCTGATCATGAGGACGGCTTTCCGGATGTCACGGACGCCATCATAGACCAAACGGGAGGCATCGATGAACTCGTTCTCCTCAAAGGCCTGCGGGGGGTTTGTACTCAGTGCCTCGATAGCAACCTCCACTTGTTCAGCAAAACGGGGCATGACTGCAGGGAGACATGAGAGAGGGAGGGAGGTTAAGAAGAAAATAAAAACAAAAATGAGTCAGGTGTAATACTTTTATTGGTAATCTGTAAGAATAGCTGTTAGTTTATTGATTAGAAAAAGAAAAATGGCAACGTGGAAGCAGAATTATTCATTTTGAGTTTCTACTTGAGTACTTGATAACAACCTCTTCAGCTGGAGTTTAACAAGCACAGGTTCTCTGCCTGCGTAGCCTCTGCTCACTTGTGCATTTCAGGTGAAGACAAGACGTCACCCTAAGTCTCTCTGTAAGCGACAATATGCCGTCACACATTGCACGCCAATTAGCTATTTCACCTTGGCTTACCCAACAGGAAGATTGGCCTGTCTGTCACAAGATGTGTTTGTGCACACTAGCGTTTGACATGCAGTATGTGTCATCTGTGTGTGCATGTGTGTAACCTGCAGAAAAGATTGTTGTGTGTGCTTTAGTGTAACAGTACGAGGACGGTAACTTGCAAGCTCAGCCTGTCAAATCACAATGCCCATGAAGGGAAACAAATTCATCAAAGTCTTTTGAGCCGCACAAAAGCCATGCGACAAAGGGAAGTCCCTATTGACCATAAAAATGGTTGGTTTTGTTGTCAGTATCAATCAGCCAGGCTCGATGGAAGCGCTTTATGCTCTTTGTGTGTTCAAATGAATTGTGCTGAATGTGAATAGACATTCAATGGTCAAGAATAAAAATGAATGTGTGAATATTAAACTGGCTCCATAATGTCAAGTTGAGTAAAATAATTGAAAGTGGGGTTGAATAATGTGTGGGGCTTATTTTTTTTAGATGGACTCCGTGCTGAGGCAAATTATCATTAGAAAGGCTGTGGCCAACCAGGCTGTCATCATCCGCAATAGGTTAGTCCATATATATACTGCATGATCTATATGCAGGGGCTTTTTAAACAGCAGCAATTATATCGTTATTTGCTATGAATTGTCATTAAGTTATATATCTAGGAATGATTCTAGACAAAGAAAGTGAATCTTTTGCTTTTTGAACTTACTGTATGTGGCTGCTTTGGCACACAGAAAAAATAAGTATGCATTAAGATGATATTAGAAGAGTAGATTTTTATGGAAGATAAAAAAAAAAAAAATGTAAGAGGATTAAAAAGAAGCAATGAGAAGAAAAATCTAAAACAAGGGGAAAGACAAATGAAGCATGGGAGTTGGCTGGTGAGCCTCCACCTCAAAGCCTACTTTGTGATTGTATTATTCTTCCCCACACTTCCTGCCTCTTGTTCATGCAGAGTAAACTAAATCAATTAGGCAGCTTGCATTAAAGGTGTATCTGCAGTATACTTATTTGTGTGATATAAAACACAGGCTATATTTCACCAAACATAAAAGGCACTACAAAAAGTCTCTCCCTTTTTTCTTTTAATTTTTAATTCAGTTTAATCCACTTACTGGAGAAGCGTAAAATAGGCTTTTGGGAATTGCTGGGAAGGCGTTTTAAATAGAAATATTTAAATGTTCTCCAAGCTCTTAATGAGCAAAGTTGCTGATGGTAAGGAGCAATTTCACTCATTCCAGTTGAAAAATGATGAAGGGAATTAAATGTGACCATGTAGGAATGGATTTTTTTTCACCCCTTAGGCTTAAGCATAGTTAAAGCGAGAAGTTATGGAAGTACAATGCATGCTCAAAATCCTCACAGCAGAGATGGCGTGGCCCCTATGAGGTGTTTAACCAGCTCCAAACAGAACAAGATACACAGATTTTACGGCTAAAACTTAATTAGGACCGTTTAATTAACATAACACATTCAACGCAGTAAAATCAAGAGCACTTACACACAAAAGATGATATTAGCCTTTGAATTAAACCCTAAAATATCAAATATCACTTTTGTCTTTTTAACAATCTCGTGCTTCACCTCCTCACCACATTTTGTGGCCAAAAATTTTTCAGACTTTTAACATCCTGTTGCTAAACTCTAATACAAGATGCTGAAGACTTAATATTGAATTGCAGCTTCCATAGCAAAGCAGATCTGTGCTGTTAATGGTCCATACAAACCCCATTTACACTCTGCCCAAATACAGCAATGAACTACAGACAAGTTGTACCAATCTGGTTAGCTAGAGCACAAGCCACATAGCTGGCCATGTTCTGGCTATTGGGTTAAAAAAATAAATAAATCTTCTTAAATGGAACCCAGGCCCCCATTTACAGACATTATGGTTTGAAATTGACAAAAAATCCTCACTTTGGCAGATTTGTATTAATTAAGAGTCCAGCTTAGAGTCAGAATGGGACTAGTCTGGTCCAACAGTTGGCTGAGTTATTACTATGTCATGGGCTGTGTGTGATCAGTGTTCTGGCTTCTAGATCTGAAACCATTTGGACTGTAATGTACTGCAGTATTTGGGACAACTATAAGTGGGCTGTTAGACATGTTTTTATGCCAGACCCATATGAGCATGGATTCCATGAAGATGACAAAGCATCAATAAGATCATTTAGTATGTGAGGCTGTCAGTATTGTACTGCGATGTATGGATGACAAATGCTGTATATACTGACCTTTTTAAATACCATTTCACTTTGAATCATTGATCCATTTTAAATAGATGATGGATTAATTAGCACTTGTTTTAGAAAGTGGTCACTACTTATGAACCCACAGAGAATGATCATGTCCTTACAGTTCCCCTCATGTCTACAGGGCTTCAGCGTGACTTACAGCCGCATGTTGTTGAATCCAACTCTTGCGCAGCAACATTACTGTTTTTCAGCAAAAATTTAAAAAAAAAGGCCTGATGTGTCATGCCTCCTCAGCACTATCCGGAACAGATAAAGCCTGCAGCTAACTGGTAACATATTGGAACATCCAGCAGCTAAAAAGCTTCAACATTTACTGGTTGCACTTCATAATTAATGTAACACAGAACAAAACTGTGATATCAGCCTTTACTTGTATATAAATCTGAGAGAAAATTAAATGTGATGAGATCAGGACTTTGGTGCTTCTGCTTTCAGTCTGTTTACTGCTGTGCTCTCCTCACTCTCACCTTGGTTAAAATGTTGCTCCGACCTCCTCACACTGCACTGCTACTCTCAAAGCAATTTCCTCATCAGCACTCTCTCCTACTGTAACTCCCACCTCTATTTGCGCACTGATTAAGAGACCTCACCTCCCATCCTTGCAGGTTATGAGTTTGCCATCTGTTTGCCATTCTGGCTCAAACCCGTCCCCCCCCCCCACATCATCATAACAATAGACACAAATATAAAGAGTGACTCATCCAGTTCAACAACTGTGCTCTGTACCATATAAAGTAATAAAGGTGCACTAATTCAGTATCTCCTGAATTAAAAATTGCTTCCTTTTTTTTATCCCCAGACACTGATGTTTCTTGTGTTGTTGCACTTGGCTCAATATTTATAGTAGGTTGCTTAATATTGGGCCAGCCAAAAAGTTTGCTCCTCAGAACTATTATTCCAAAAGTTGGCCGTGTAAAGTGTCCTTACTTATCCCTCAGTCCCTATTGAACTTCTTTAAGTGCACTTGATCCAATGATTTACAGGCATGACATGTGGGTGGCAGTGTGAGCATGTGTGTTATTACTCACTGCAAAACCCTGGCTAAATCCCATTTACTGTGCCCCGATGTAATAACAAGGAGCAACGCCAGCGTGCCTTTCTAAATGGCACACTGACTTAGGCCATATATCAGTTTTTTAATCTACCCTCTCCGGGCACCACATTAATGATCGACTTTAAAATTTGTCCCGTTTTTGAGGAGCAGATTAGTTTAAACACAGGGAGTTAGTGGGCAGAAAAAGTGTCTCGGGGAAGAAGAAGAAGGGAGAGGTGGGGGAAAAAGAGAGAGAAGCCATAACCACTTTCCCATTAGGCTATTGATTTTTCTCCCTCTCAAGGACACGCTTCATTCCTGGGCCTATGTGTGGACTGTCTGTCAGGAATCTATGGCTCAGCTTTACACTCAAGAGTTGTGTACCTTGGCTGCCTGTATAAGGCCCGGCCATATATCTGACCACACCTAGTATGAACAAGAAGGATGGGGCAAATTGAGACGAGGTCAAAGTGCAGGTAATTCTGATCTGAGCGTCTCTTGTTGGTGCGGCAGCTGTCAGAAATACAGGCAAGTGGGCACGGCTGGCATGAAATGCTGCGGGTATACAAACACACACAAAGGCCCAAGATAACTGTTTAAAACATGCACAACACAGAGAAAAAGGACAAAAAGGGGGACCACATCAATGAATTCCACTAAAATCCCCGCTCAAATCGCTTAGTGAAATCCTAGGTGACAGCTATTGATTTTTTGGTAGAGTCTAGTTAATTGGGCTCGGTACCCTCGGAAAAGTGTGTGGTCCTATATCCCTTTTCCTTTGTTCAGTTACACTTAATCATCTTTCCCCCCAGCTATAGATTTCTTCCTGACTGTGTGTTGGAATCCATAGACGTCAGGCCTGTGCGGACTGAGGGGAGAGGGAGGCAAAAGTTCACAAGGATCAATAAGTGCTTTATGGCCCAGATCAGATGTGCATGGTAGTCCCTAAAAACCCCCGACCGCCACCGCAAAGACGGAAATAGGAAGACGAAAAACAACAGCTCTTCATCAAAGAGAAATAGAGGGCCAATGAAATGGTGGTGTAACAAAACAGCAGGTTCCCAACCTTAACGTCTCAATTAGCGCACACAATCAAAAGGAAACAAGGGCTCGTTAAAGAGTAAAACAGGAGTTCTCCTCAAGGCCGTGCAGCCTGTGTGACTTGCCTATTTGCTGCATACAGGATGTATATACACCATCTTAGTTCTTTTCTTCGAAAAATCAGCTGCTCTTTACTAGTGTATCCATTGTCAGGTCATCTGCTTTTGGTTTTTCAAGCATTAAGATGTTTATTGTCCTACCACAGCTGGGATTGGATAGAGCGGCTGATTCTGATTTTTATTTGAGTTAACAATAAAGCTTAAACGCTCAATTTTGATTGGT